TAGGAGGACAGGGCTCCCGGGTCAGGGGCAGGCAAAGGTCCACACGTGGCTAGGAGGACAGGGCTCCCGGGTCAGGGGCAGGCAAAGGTCCACACTTGGCTAGGAGGACAGGGCTCCCGGGTCAGGGGCAGGCAAAGGTCCACACTCTTGGCTCCTGCTGGCACCTGCCGCAGGAGCTCCATCCAGGGCAGTTAGCAAGAAGCGGGAGTCTAAGGCACCCAACTGAAGGAAGAGTGCGCCCATCTGTGTGCAGGCAACAGGAGCCAGAAGACCCCAGGATGCAGAGCTGACAAACGTGCTCAGTGGGCACGGGGCAAAGGCAAGCTGAGCTTGGACACCAGTCGTGAGCAGCCCGACGTGGAGCCGAGGAAACGCTTCCACTCAATGTCATCGAAATTAACAAAATACCCGGGAATTCATTTTTTAAAATTTCTATTTTTAAAAAAATGAATTATTATTGTTTGTGGTCCTGAGGATTGAACCAGGGACTCACACATGCTATGCARGCACTCTACCACTAAGTTACAACTCAAATCCTACAGTTTTTTCCCCCACTGGCATCAGGGTCGAACCCAGGGGCACTTAGCCACTGAGTCACATCCCCAAAGTTTTTAGATATTTTATTCTGAAACAGCATTTTGCTGAGTTGCTTAGGGTATCACTAAGATGCTGAGCCTTGCTTTGAATTTGTGATCTCCTGCCTCGGCCTCCCAAGTTGCTGGGATTACAGCCACTGCACTTGGCCTAAGGATACATTTAACAAAGAGTACAAAACTTGTATTCTGTATTCTGAAAATTACAAACATGGTTGAAGACATTAAAAATGATCCAAATAACTGGAAAGACAACCCACGTTGGTGGATCAAAAGATTAATAACCTTAAGATGATGATATTCTAAAACTGCTGTATGGCTTTGATGCAGTCCCTAGCAATGCCTCACCTGCCGGGCAGGGAGTGACTCAGCATCTGCCGAGCATGTGTGAGGCTCCGGGTCCATCTCCTTGTCTGCTCTCTACAGAACTGGAAAGGTGGTCCTCGCATTCACTTGGAAGCCGGAGGCCGATACTCAGATGACCCTAGAAGGGAGGGACGCAGCCCATCCCCACGCCCTGTGCTGCTGACACTCGCCTGCCCTCTCAGAGCCGCCAGATCCTGAAAGGCAGGGAAAGTCTGGGGTGCCTATGAGGTGGCCAACTGTGTGCTGTGGGGTCCCGAGCAAGGCCTGGGGCAGCTGGATGGGGTCTGGCTCAGAGTCACGTCACACTGAGATATCACTGCATGCCAGCTAGGTGGCCACACGTTCCCACAGATCCATTCTGCACAGCATGCAAGATGACACTGGAGGGCAGCTGGCACGTCTCGAAATGCCAAATGCACACCACGGCCAGCCTGCAACCGGTGAGCACCCCTGCATATCTGCCAGAGATATGGGAACCTGTATCTCCACGAAGCCGGGACGCGTGTCTTGAAGCAGCTTGACCCTGAGCCCCTTCGCCTGCACTGGTGGACAGGCTGTGCTCACCCACACAGTGGCATGCCTCGGCCATGAATGGGGTGGTGCTGCCCACACCAGGTGGACCTCACAGGTATAGACAGGGCAGGGTGGAGAGACTGTCAAGGGGGCCTAGGCTTGGGGGACATGGGACTGTCTTCTGTCCTGAGGTGTACAACCCGTGACATGCGCCATAGGCCTGCTCCAGACGGTCACCCTGGCCACACATGGATGGAGTCCTGGCCCTGCCAGCAGGAGAGTGCTCCATGGAGGGAAGACGGCACCAATAGCAGAAGGTGGCGGAGGGGCCTGGCGCACAGGCACGGCCACAGTCCCCAAACTCAGAACCAGACGTGCTGTCTTCCCCCAAATCTGAGGCCTGTGCCCACACCTGGGTCCCTCTGGAGGTCCCTTGCAGCCTGCACCCACTTCTGTTGGGTCGCCTACCTGCCTGCAAGTGCTCTGGGGTGGCAAAGGGTGCAAAGCCTCCTCTGTCCTCTGTCCCCATAGTCTAGCCGACAAGAAAAGACACTTACCTGGAAGAGGATGAAGATGAGAAACAGCTCGTAGACCACACTAACACAGAGCCAAAACCGCCAGTAGGCTGTGGAGACGAGAAGCAGGTGCGTCAGGGACCAGCTCTGTACCCAGGCCCACCCAGCCCCATGGGGTCTGCGTGCAGCTTCTGTCCCTGCTAGGGGTTCATGAAGCAAGGTCAAACCCAGCCGAGTGAGCCACTGCTCTCTGACGCACGGGACTTTCCTCTCCTTCACTGTCTTCCTCCTCGTCTCACCACAGCGTCTCAGCAGGCCCACGGCTGCTGTCCTGCACCTGCTGGGCACACTTCCAACTGCACACTCAGTCCGCAGCAGGTTCTGACGACACACCTTGCATCCCACTAAAACACCTTTTAATTCCAACAGGCTTAGCTTCCTTGCAAATGTGGACTTTTATTTATTGTACATTTAAGGGGATCACTGCTCCTAGTGTGAAACCTGCCACCTTGCAGGTCTTGGGGCCCACACTACAAGTGCTCTGCTGGGAGGGTTTGTGCCATGACCTACATGGGAGAGAGATGGCCCTGCCCAGGAGGCAGCAGCAGGTGGATGCGGGAAACACCTGAGGCCTGAGGACGACTGTGGGCAGCAGGAAGCTGTGTGTGGAGGTTCTTGGGGACACCCAGGACACGTGTGTGGTCCTGGGACAGGAGATGGACGAGTGGGCTGCGAGCACTTTAGCCTGGAGGGTGGGAGGAACCTGCGGGCTGCTGAGCTGCCATAGCTGCTTGAGGGCTTGTGGTGCAAGCAGTCCAGGCCCAGAGGCCACAGGAGGACCATACCCTCGGAGCTGTGGACTCACTCGAGAGGCCTGACCCTTGAGGCCACATGCCAGAGATGCCTCATGTCACCAGGCCTTCTGTGACCTCCTCTCTGCCACTGTGTATCCCTGATTGTCCATGATCCCCTTCTCAGGAGGGCCCAAGTCGGACCCTCTCTGATCCCTTTAGTCTACCTTTAAATCCGCACCTAAACACCCAGCAGCCCTTCCACTTCCCCTCCTCTCTCCTGGAACGACTCCTGGCGTTTGTGAGTCCCTGTCCCCACCCACTGGAATGTCCCACTGAGAAGGAAGAGCAGGGTGCCAGGCATCTGTGCACTCCAGCTTCAGGAGTTGCTGTGGTGGCATGCAAGCAGGAGCCAGGAGGGGCTGCTGCAGCTTGGCGGTGGAGAGGCTTGGCACACACCAGGTCTTGGGTCCTACTCCCAGCACCACAGAAAACAAAAACCCAGGAAGCGGAGGCTCCTCCAATGGGCCGGGACCGCTTCAGAGGGCCTCACTTGGAATTGCAGCCAATTAAAGTAGCTCCCCAGACGGGTGAGCTGCAACCTCTTTTTGCTGCTCTAATGAGGCCTGGTTGCTAAGGGCCACAGAGGCAAGGCCTGACCAGGTGTCCCTGCAGCAAGCCCTGGGGGAGACAGGCAGAGCCACACAGGGAGCACCTCCCGACAGCTGCCTGCAGGTCCTCCCACGCCCCCCCCCCAGGGACTCTCATCTACTTCTCACACACTGGGATGGTCAGGAGGGGGTCCCTGTCCACCATCAAGTAAGACCTGAGGAGGACGGTGGTGGCTCCAGGACAGGCTTCCCATGTGAGCAAAGCAAAGACTGACGAAGAAACCTGGAGCTCTGAAGAGCAACAAGGCACAGCTCAAAATAAACACTCAGACCAAGCACAGCCCCTGGGGGGGGGGAGGCGAACACCCAGGTGTGGGAGGTGGGGTGATGCTCACGTCGCCCCAGGGAACCTGTGGGGCTTCCATAACCTTGCAGACAGGCACGGCAGGGCAGCGGGTGGCAGCAGCTCCTGCTCTGGGCCTCAGGTCCTGAGCACCTCCCTGCTGCTCAGACCAGGGCCACGTGCTGGGCAGGGTGCTGCGGAGGGTGTGCTGTGCCTGCAGGAGTGTAAGCGTGTGGGGCTTCCCTCAGCGCTCCTGAGCACCAGCCTGGCAGGCACGTGGCCACGCTGCCTCTCACTGGGTGCCCGCRGCTGTGCAGCCATCTCGCTGTCCCAGGGCTCTGGTCTGAGTGCCTTCTGAAGAAGACTGGGTGGGTCAGAAGCTGAGCTAGTAGACCCCAGCGGACCTGGGCAGCCTCCCCAGCCTCCCCCAGTGCCGCCCACCAGGCAGGAGGTCCTGGGTGCCAGGGCAGGCAGGAGCAGCCTGCTCATGCCCTCGGGACTCACTCACCCTCAGGCAGACGTGACCCTTCTGGAAGGCACGTGTCCTAGCCCTGCACCTCCACCCCCAGGATGTCTTATTAAAAAACACTCAGGTAGATACACAACAGGCAAGTGCAAGATTCACCACTAACTAATGTACCACAAAAACTAAAAAACAGCCAGGCGTGGGGCGCACCCATAGTTCCAGCTACTTGGGAGGCTGAGGCAGGAGGGTCACTTGAGCCTGAGGGTTTGAGAATAGCCTGGGCAACATATGAACATCCCATCTCAAAGACAAAACTAATCATCAAAACAAAACAAAAACTCCACATATAGTACGATTCCAATTTTTGAGGCTACATACACAAATACATCAAAATTTAATTGTGACTATTTTTAAAAAACACTTAAAAATATCTTTGTATTTTCCACAGTTCTGCCTGCTGTTGAGACAGACTCGTGTCTAGTTGCTACACTTGAGCTTTGAGGGAACTGGCCCACCCTGAGTGCTGAGCTGGCTTCCCAGGCAGCGGGGGCAGAGCCGGTGACGGTGCCCTCCCGCTCTCATCTGGGGTTGGGGGCACTATGGTCCAGGAGCTTGTTAGAACTCAGGGTGGGGATGAGGGAGACGGTGAGCCCCCAGCAAGGGTGGTCCCCCAGGTCTCCTGCCTGAGCCACAGACCTTCCCTGCAATCCTGGGCACACCACCATCTGCAGAAAGCTGTGGGAGAGCCAAGTAGAGTGAGGAGGAGGCAAGAGGGCCTGGGGGCTGAAGAGGAGGAAGGTGGAGGACTCTGCAGTCCAGGCCTCTCCTGGCAGAGAGCAGTGGCCGCAGGGAGGAGCAAGGCAGAGGGGAGGACAGGACATTCACACCCAGCAGCACAGGCACAGCTGCTCGAGACAGGARTGCATGTGCACACACGGAGGAGGAGGGGCAGTTACCTGGATGAGGTCTGGAAAATGGCCCATCTTTGGCTTGTGTGACTCCAAAACATAAGAAAACCAAAATACTGGCCACAATACCTCTGCAAACAAAGAACAAACAGCCCCTCAGTGTGTGCAGACTTCTCTCAGGTGGGGTGGAACGTGGCTGGGACCAGGGGACACCCAAARGGCAGGGCCGAGGGAGGAGCTGGGCTGGAGCTGGACTACCTCCCCACCCAGCAGCTGCCTCTGTAGACACCTCTGGTGTCCTCTCTGGGACACGTGCCTCAGGCATTGTGCCACCACATGAAGTCCCAACTCCACAATTCATGATCAGGGCACACTGGTGCTCCCAGAGGCCAAGAGCCAGAGGCCCAGCTCTTGCCTGTTGGGGTATCTCCTTCAACACCAGGCTCACCAGCTGTCTGTGGAAGTGCCACACCTACAAATATATCCAACTCAACGTACAGGTGCATGGTGGTGGCACAGCCCAGGGGGGAGCCAGGGGCCTCAGGGTGGGTGCCCACCTTGGCAAGGCTCCCCGGGACAGCCTCTAGCCCAGAGGCCCACTACCCCTGCTGGAAAAATGGCCCAGGCCAGTGGATGTGCAGATGGCCCATCTGTTCTACAGCAGGCCTGCCCTGGCTGAAGGTCCCTCCCACTCCATCTCACCAGGACATCTGAGGGCACACAGAACTCCTGGACATCCCCACACCAAGCCCTGCTTCCAYACCCCTTCTGCCAGGACAGGAGCCTCAGGCAGGGTGGAGACTTGCAGGGCACCTGAAAGGTCTACCCAACAGGCACAGTCCCTGCGCTGCTGGGGAGAAGAACACTGACCAAGAGAGGTGGCTAACAGGCACCCCAGACAAACCTGTGACACCCGCCAGGGGGCACCACCCAAGGGGTCTCCAGGTGGGCCTGCAGAGCCGCCCAGGCCAYGTATGTGAGGAGGACTTTTTAAGGTTCTTCTGCAGGAGTATTCAAGGACTCTGGAAGTCCATCGCAGTGGGCAAAGGAAGTAATTTAAAAGGAAAACAATATCCTACATTTTTCAATTTTTTTTTTTTTGGTTCTAGGGATTAAACCCAGGGAGCTTAACACGGAGCCACATCCCCAGCCCTTTTTATATTTTATTAAGAGACAGGATCTCACCAAGTTGCTGAGGGCCTTGCTAAGTTGCTGAGGCTGGCTTTGAACTCATGATCCTCTGCCTCAGCCTCCTGAGTTGCTGGGACTACAGATGTGCACCACTGTCAAATAATTTTTTTTTTTTTAGCTGTAGTTGGACACAATATCTTTATTTATTTGTTTATTTTTATGTGGTGCTAAGGATCGAACCCAGGATGAGTGCTCTACCGCTGAGCCAYATCCCCAGCCCCTCATTAAATTTTTAATCCCATAAAGTACATGCTCTGATCACATGTTCTGGGCTCCCCACTGTCCTTCCCGCCTGGATTCCTCACTGGGTCCCCTGCTGCCTGTCTCAGCTCTGCAGGCTCTCTTGCTGTGACAGGGTCCTGCCCTCCCCTTACTTCTGGGACAGTGGCCTCAGAGCCCTCTGCTGTTTCCTCGTGGCAGGTGGGGGCTGCAGGGCGTGGGGAGACCTTGGGTGTGACTGGGCCGAGGTGGGGCGGCCAGGGCCTCWTGTGCAGCACCCACCTCCTTCCCCTCCTGACCTGTCTCAGCACTCACTGGGGACCTGCACTGGGGCATTTGTCCCTCTTCCACCATTCATTCTTTCAGGCCCCGGGACCCAGGGGTGCTCTGCACTGAGTTATATCCCGGTCCTTTTCACTTTCTGAGATGGGATCTCACTAAATTGCCAAGGCAAGCTTTGAACTGGCCACCCTCCTGTCTCAGCTTGCAGGGTGCTGGGATGACAGGTGTGGCCACCGCACCCGGGGGCTTACTGGTTTATTTAATCACACATCAGCATGAACCACAGACATCTATTCCAACAACTTGATGAGTTTTTGCTCCCATTGTTCCCTCTTTTGAGCATGGGGGGTCTTTTTTTTTTTTTTTTTTGAGAGAGAGAGAGAGAGGGAGAGAGAGAGCTTTCAACATTTATTTCTTAGATTTTGGCGGACACAAAACACAACATCTYTGTTGGTATGTGGTGCTGAGGATCGAACCCGGGCCGCAGGCATGCCAGGCGAGCGCGCCACCGCTGGAGCCACATCCCCAGCTCCATGGGGGGTCTTTTGGTGGGCTCCTGTGTTACTCCAACAGGACCCACCGCTGGGTTTTGCTTTGCTTTGTGCTCCTGCTTCCTGGCACCATGGGAAGTTCTGGGAACATCTCGGGCACTCCCTGGAGCCTGGTCCTTTACTGAGGGTGCCAGAAGCTGATAAGCACTGGTGTGCTGGCTCTGCTAGCTAGGGGAGGCTGGCTCTAGGCCTCAGCGCACACCCGCACACTCACTGGGACACACCTGTGTCTGCACATACAATCATCCTGGGTGTCCACGGGAGGCAGTGTCAGGATCCCCAGGAGATACCAGAATCCCTTATGGAAAAGGGCACAGTGTTTGTAGAGAACCCTAAAATCACCCACAGATGGCCTACATGGCCTGCTCCTACAGAACTTGTAAATAGTTGCTACACTGTATCAGTCAGAGGACAAAGATGAGAAATCTCCATGTTCAGAACAGATGTGAGTTTTTCCTCAATGGAAGGTGTGTTGAATCCTCAGATATGGAACCCATGGACACAGAAAGCCAAAATATCGTTCCTATTTCTATCTGTAACTATTCGTCCCTGTTTCAAGCTAACCCTAAGCACCTCCTACCACACCATCATTCTAACCCCTGCACCTCCAGCCCGCCTGGCTTCAGCAACCTCAGCACGCCACAGCACAGGGCGGCTGGGGCCATGATGACTGCGTACCTCACAGCCATGGCGGCTCTCTTGCCTCTGCCTCGGCGCCTGCCATCCACAGCCTCTCGGCACCTGCCCAGTGCATCCGTGAGCGTCTGCCACAGTCTGCCTGCAATTCCCTGGACGCCTAAACTAGTTTGTAATCTGCACAGTTAGGGTTCACTCTCTGTTCTATGGGTCTGACAAATACGTCATGCCAAACATCCACCAGTAGAGTACCAGAGGGAGTAGTCTCACTGCCGTAAAAATGCCCTGTGGGTGTGGCTTGGTGGTAGTGCTTGCCTGGCATCTGCTGGACCTTGCGTTCATCCCTGGCACTGAAAAGGGTGAAAATAAAGTTACGTATGATTTCAGGGTGGCTGGTGAGGTCAAACTAGGCTACCCTGAGGTCCTTAGAAAGGAGAACACCCTGTGCGTGGCCTCGTCCTTCCCCTTCAAGAACCACTTCTCCTGCACTCCTCTCGTCGGGTCACGCAGCACCCTGCCTTTCCACCTGGCTCCTCTTGCTCAGGAATGGCCTGAGACCCGTCTTCCCAGCTGACAGCTGCCTCCATGCTGCAGAGAGCACAGCACCATCCAGGCCCACACTCTTTCCTCCATTCACTACTGAAGGGTGTTGTGGTCACTTCCAGTTTGGGGCAATATAAATAACGTTGCCATAAATATTCGCCTGCAGGTTTCTGTGTGGATGAAAGTTTTTAGCTCAATGGGACACCTGGGAGGGTGACTGCTGAGTTAGGTTCTCTGTGGCTCCCCTGCTGTGCACAAGCTGGCAGTGCCTGGGAGTTGAGACCTCCCAGCACCGTCATGGTCAGGTTACGGTCAGCCCTWCTAACGGGGTTCATTACTGTGCTGTCTTGTCAGCAATTTGCAATTCCCTGCGACACATGACACAGGCCATCACTTACATGGTATGTGCCTCATACATATCCTCCTTGGTGAGGTGTCTGTTGGAGTCTTTCACCCTGTTTTTATATTTTATTTTATTCTAAATTCGGGTCTCACTTTGTTGCCCAGGCTGGCTGCAAAATCATGGACTCAAGCGATCCTTCCACCACAGCCCCGGGAGCAGCGAGGATACAGGTGTGGGCGCATACCTGGCCTGCCCAGTGTTTAACTGTACTGCTTCTGTTCTTATTAGTCTGCTTTAGGAGTTTCCAACGTGCTTTGTTTTTTTTTTAATATTTATTTATTTATTAGTTATTGGTGGACACACAACATCTTTGTTTGTATGTGGTGCTGAGGATCGAACCCGGGCCGCACGAGGTAGCAAGGCGAGCGCGCTACYGCTTGAGCCACATCCCCAGCCCCTCCAACGTGCTTTGAATACAAGTCTCTGTCAGGTGCACGCTGTGCCAACTTTCTAATAGCCTGCCTCCCTACTCACTTCACCGTGTCTTTGGCAAACCCTGATTTTTCACTTTAATGGTCCACGGATGGCTGATATCCATCATGGCCACTCATGGACACTGGCATCTACTGAGGTTCACCAACATCCACTGTTAATCACGATGCTGACTGATGTCTATGGACACTCGCTGAGGTCCACTGGTGACCTACTTACACAGGCATCTCAAGACTTAGGGGCACAAGGCACTGTCTCCCTAAAATGTCCCACAGACTGGGGGTGCTGCCCCCTAAGACGTCCCATGGACCTGGGCGCCCTGTCTCCCCAACAACGTCTCATAGCTGTGCATCTTACACTGGCTGACCTGTAACCCAATCTGAAAATGTCTGTGAAGAGCGCAGGTCAGAGTCTGTGGTGTCCTCTGCAGCAGATGTACAGCTGCTGCAGTGCCAATCGTGCAAGACCACCCTCTCTGTGCGCTGCTCTGTGTGGGTCTGCTGCTGAGCCCTCTGCTGTCCAGGGCCTGCTCTGTCCGCTCTGTCCAGTCCCRACCCGCAACTGGCTGAGCAGGAGGTTCGGGAGCATGTCAATCTCAGGTTCTGCCCCGCTTCAGGACTGTGAAGTGCTGTCCCTGTGTCATCCATGTGAAGAGCAATCCACACTTTCAATGCATCTGCTAGTTATATGTACTTTGTACAATTAAAACGTATAAAGAAGTTTAACTTATTAAATTGTAGAAAATTAATTAAATGTGAGGGTGAGAAAATCTGGAATCTCTCCCAAGGTTCCCACATACAAATGGGCTGAAGCTCATGAGTGAGCAACCCACAGATATGGCCATACAACGTCACAGGCCACCATCCCCAGGAAGACACAGAGTCCATGAAGCAACTCCATTTTACCAAACCAGAACAAAGTGGGAAACCCAGCTGCCTATGCCAAGTGCAGTGCCCTGCCCCAGGGTCAGAGGCCACTAGGCTGAGGAAGTGTCCACATCTCCACACAGCAGAGGGCACACAGCAATGGGCACTGACCCACACTCACGGGGCTGTGTCATTTAATTACAGGACAGTAAAGTTGACTTGAAAAGAGAGACAACTGGGCACAGTGATACACAGGGAGGCGGACATGAGCCCAGGAGCTAGAGGCCAGCCTGGGCAGCACAGTGATATCCCACCTTAAAAACAAAACAGAAAACACCAAAACCCAAACCAACCAACAAAAACCCAACATGACCAGGTGCAATGGAGGCAGGAAGGGCACAAGTTCAAGTCCAGCCTGGAAACTTAGTGCAACCCTGGCTCAAGATCAAATATAAAAGGGTGGGGAGCCAGACGCCATGGCGCATGCCTGTAATCCCAGCGGCTGGGGAGGCTGGGGCAGGAGGATCGGGCGTTCAAAGCCAGCCTCAACAAAATCGAGGCACTAAGCAACTCAGTGAGACTCTGTCTCTAAATAAAATGCAAAATAGGGCTAGGGATGTGGCTCAGTGGCCAAGTGCCCTGAGTTCAATTCCTAGTAAACAACAACAAAGCAAAGCAAAGCGAAACAAAACAAAACACAAAAAACACAGTTGGGGRTATAGCTTAGTGGTGGAGCACCTGACTAGCACGTGTGAGACCCCAGGTTCAATCCCTAGGTATCACAAAAGAAAATGACCATGGGGGGAAAAAAACAAGCTGGGCACAGTGGCCAGCTACTTAGGAGGTAGAGGCAGGGGTACTTCAAGTTCAAGGCCAGCCTTGGCAATTTAGCAAGACCCTGCCTCAAAACAAAAAAGAAAGAAAAGGCTAGGGATATCGTTCAGTGGTAAAATGCCCCTGGGTTCAATCCCCAGTACCACCAAAAACAACAACAAAAAATGTGAGTCCTAGGTTCCATGCCCAGTACAGTAAAAGTAATATGAAACCTATCTTCAAGGACACCAAAAAAACTCATGTGCCATGTGTGGTGACACATGGCTGTAATTCCAGCAAGACCCTGTCTCAACAACAACAAAAAGCCTAAGGACGTGGATCAGTGGTAAAGTGACCCTAAGTTTAACTCTGGATCCCCAAAACAAAAACAACTCTAATATAATTAAAACGAGCGTTTGCTCGTAGCCTCTAAGAGGCCCGAAAGGGTCTAGGCAGCAAGAATGCACCAGTCTGATGGATATGGGGCTCCTGGTGTGAAGCATGGGGTCCAGAGAGGGCGCAAGTGGACCAGGACAGGCACACGCACTGCAGCCTTCCAGAGGAGGCTGCAGAGCCATGGACAGCAAAGGCAAATGGTATGCCTGGGTATCCCAGGCAGAAGCCAAGAGCAGGTCCAGGCAACACCAGCCAAATTATGGGCCATGAGGGACAGTTCCTTGGTGCCTAAGAGGGACGAGGGGACAGAGTGTTCCCCCATACAGAACTTGAGAGAAAAAGTGCTCAGGAGTCCCTGGGATTCACATACCCTGCCCTCTCTCTCAGTAAGCTACGCGGGGCTCCCCTGGGAGGGGGCAAGTGCTCGGTGAAGAGGCCCCTGTAGGTCTGAGCTCTGGGACTCTCTGGGTCTGGGCTGTTCACAGCAGGAACCAGGAATTGGTGGGCAGAGCCTGGGGGCAGTGCAGCTCTGTGACTCACCTGACAGGGGTCTGGTGACACAGGCCTACTCTTCATGGGCAGGGGCTCACTCCTCCCTGTGACAATTCTTGCCCAGTGACAACAGGACGACTCATCTCTGGTTAATTTTACTTCCCATATAGAGGAACCCCTTCTGTTTTTTCAGTGCTGGAGAATGAACCAGAGGCCCTCCTCCCCTACTGCCCCAGGGAACACTTCTCAAGGTATGGCTAAGTCCTGCTTCCTGAGGCTCTCTTCCCATGTGTCCAACAGACACCACAGACCCCCGCCCCCGCCAATGCCCAGGCACTGTCAGATGAACCCACAGAAAAGACCCAGTTCCACTTGGAGATTCCCTCTGGGCAGATGCAGGCTGCTGCCGACAGCCTCACAGCCCCACAGGCAGCCCCTTTACAGGCACCAGTGCAGAACCAAGGCCCAGCCCAGAGGCTCCTGGGCTCGCTCTCTCCTGCTGTCTCCAACTTCCCAGGAAACACAAGCTTGCAGGCTCTACCTGCAAATGAGGCAGGGGGCTGCCTGAGGCCCAGGTGGTCCTGCAGATGAGGAGAGGCGCCAACAAGGCACACAAAGGGCCAGAGAGAGGCTGGTGGGCCTGGGAGCAAGCTGACACCTAAGGCTTGGAGAACAGAAGAAGAGTTAGCCAAGCTGACTGGGAGGAAAACCCAGAGGAGGAGTGAGGCAGGAGTGGGCAGGATGCCAGGCAGGGAGAGACCTGCCTGTGCAGTGAAGGCTAGGGGTCTTGGGGGCTGGCTGCTCCCAGGCCCAGCAGCTGCACAGCAACTTCTCAGCAGAGTGCCTGGCTGCACCCAAGGACATGAGCCCCATTATGAGGTCTACGGTGGGTAGCTCCAGTGTCCTGGACAGACAGGCTGAGCACCCAGGTGTACCATAGCTTCCCACGCTCATGGTGAGCAACGTGGCATGGATATGGTCACCTAGCAGGGCCTGGCAACATCTATGGGGGCGTACTATACATACCATCTGTCTACCTAATTCTCACGGCAGATACTAACACCCACATGTTTCAAAAGCAACAAAGCACTACCAAGAACTGTGACCGTGAGACCCCACAAGCCCAAGGCCCCCAACCAGGGCTGACTCATGGCCCCAGCTCAAATGGTCATGAGCACCTCCCTCTGYTTCTGTCCCCATCAGGCCCATCTGGCTTCCTGGGGCTGTCCTACTGCACAAGTGGGGTTTGGGCCTCAAAGGGAACAGCAGCTTTGCACCAGCCTGAGGCTCCCAGGAGCAAGAGCCGAGTACACCTAGTGCAGAGAGTGAAGACTAAGGACTCACCCCACTCGCTGAGACTAGGTCAGTCTCGGAGTGCAGGCACGGGATGCAAGCAAAGCCTTGTGACCAGTCTGCCTGGGAGGATCCTGAGAAATGAGGCCACAGGTGGCCACTGGGCATCCACCTGGTATGTCAAAGTCATTTAAATATTTAAAAAGTGTTAGTTTCAACACCACCGGAGAACTGTGCCAACTAGGGGGCAGCCACAGACTCGGCAGCCCACCCTGGAGCCTGTGGTAGCACAAACTGCAAGTGATTTAGGAGGTGACATGAATTCTGGGAAACTGGTGGCCAGTTCCAGGGCAAGAAACGCCACAGAGGTTTAAGAGCGGCTGTGGAGTGGGGGATACAGACACACTTGAGGGAAGGTGGGGAGCCCAGCCCAGTACAGCCAGGACTCACGCCCTCCATGCCAACATCTACCTCTTGGTGTTGTAGGCTGTGTCCTGAGGCGTTTCCTCCAGGAGAGTCACGTAGCCCAGCGCACAGGTGAGGATGAACAGCACAGTTAAGGTGTGGGCTCGCCTGAAATCCAAACACAGGCAGTGTCAAGGGCATGGCCTGCAGTACGCACCCAGCCTCTTGCATGGGAGGGCTTRGCCTTCACCACCAGCCAAATGGGCATCTCTGGCTGGCAGCAGAGCACTCTGCACACTAGCCCCACATCTGCCGAGTGCTGGAATGTACAGAAACATGGGGGCATTACTTCACAAGTAAAATTAAAACCCGGAAGTCATTTCCCCATGTCTTAAAAGTGACTTCAGCCTTTGGCTTCTTTACCATGACTTTCCACTAACCTAATGATCTCCCTGTGGTCTTTAAGGGAATGGTCAGCCCAGGGCAACCTTACTGTTTAAAAGCCTCCTCAGAGAACACTATCTTTCCATTCTCCTGAAGACAAAGATCACCTGAAAAATCTGACTCTGCCCATTGAGGTAGGTGGCCACACTGTCTTTCAAGCAGTCACTGAGTGCTTGTCCTCCCTTCCTGGCCTCAGGAAAAAAGGAGCAGCAACAAGAAAGACCCATCACTGTCCTGTCCAAGGCAGGAAGGAGGGTCAGGAACCCCGAGGAGGGACATCAGCCCACAGGCTTGCAGCAGGACAGACTTCAGACTGCTGACACCAATGCTGCTTGAGAGCGAGACCCTTCTTTTCCCCCATGTTTTTAATTGGTGCACTCTGCTGTACACCATAAGGGCTTGTTGTTACATAGCCATATGTGCACACAATTTAAGAATATAATTGGCCAGTGTCACTCCCCAGCACTTTTCCCCTTCCCTCTCAGTCTCCCTCCCAGTCCCTTTCCTCTACCCATCTCCCTTTTCCTGAGATCTTCCCCACCCTTATTTTTTTCCTCTCTAGCTTCTGCATACAAGAGAAAACCCTGGACCTTGACCTTCTGACCCTCTGAGTTTGACTTATTTCTCCTAACACAATGTTTTCGGTTCCATCCATTTTCCTGCAAATGCCATAATTTGATTCTTCTTCACAGCTGAATAAAACTCCATTGTGTATATATACCTCATTTCCTTATCCATTCATCTGTTGATGGACACCTAGGCTGGTTCCATAGTYTGGCTATTGTGAATTGTGCTGCTGTAAACATGTGACTTTAACTCTTCGTGAAAAATACAAGACCCACCTTTTTGCTCCCTGTCTTGCACACAGAATGTGTGCCTCCACGCATTGTGGGGTCTGGAGGTAACAGACTCCAGAGGTAGACCTCCTTGCCCTCCCAGGATGACAGGTGTGCTCAGTGGTGCCTCCCACCACCTTCCCATGACAGTGCCAGGGCAAACAGGAAGCTCTGGATCCTGTGATCAGGCACAAGACAAGAGCTGCCATAAATCCTGGGATTTCAGTCAACCCCCAAGGGGAGGGCGCAGGGATGGCTGGCTCCCTGCCATGAGTGGAAAATGCCCAGCTGCCATTCAGCATGYTTGTTTTGTGAGTGGCTAGGAAGGCAGGCTTGCCAAGACCAATCAGGAGAACACTGAGGCATCATCAAGAAAGGGCCGGGGCCACCCAGGCCTCCACTAGACTCCCAGGCTGTGACACTGCCCTCCTGGCAGGCAAGACTATAAAGGCATCAACTGGCCAGTCATGCTTCCCAGACTGGGCGACGCTGGGAAAGCTCTATCCAGCATGACTGAGAAGCATCTAAGATCAGCCACATGTTCCTGAGGCTAAAGGTTTAAAGTCTACTTAAGATGTGTTGATCTCAATCACTGAGAAGGTCCACTGGAGGCTCCAAGTTCTGAGACACATGCATCCAGTAAACATTTTCAAAAAGTCACAGACATCCTCCCTGGTGGAAGCTGGCCAGGAGGGGTGGAACTCCTCCCAGGGCTTTACCATCAGTGAAAGTGACAAAACGCACAGGAGCTGCTCCAGGTGGTGGTCTGCAATCCTTCCAATTTTCAGACACAAGTTGACCCCTCTTCACAGTGAGCCTGCAGCTCAACGTTCCCTTAGAAGTTCCCTTTCAGAGAGAACCATGAATGGGAGAGGAGGCAGTGCCCTTGACACCTTGGACGCAAACTGTAGGCTCTGTGGTTGCCAAGTAGTCACCAAGACCCAAACCTTTGCACATGGCAGCCATCACTGGCCCCAGAGAAGCCCAGCTGTCTTTCAAAATGAAAAACCCTGAAAATAAGAAGTTCCTTTTGGGAGCTTTGGAACCTAAAGTCATTCCACTTTTTAAGATTAAACTTTATCTATATTAACTTTTTGTAGCATTCATTATTAAAATTCTAAAACATAGGTTGGGAGAATAGCTCAGAGATAACGCTTGCTTAGCATGGAGAGGCCTTGGTTTCAATTCCAGCATTGCAAAAAGAAATAAAACTTCTTTAAAAGATAAAGTCAGCCAGGTGCAGTAGCCTATATCTATAATCCCAGAGACCTGGGAGGCTGAGGCAGGATGATATGAAGTTCAATGCCTGCCTGGGCAACTTAGCAAGACCCTTAGCAACTTAGTGAGACTTGTCTCAAAATAAAAACGAGAAAGGACTGAGGATATAGCTCAGTGGTAAAGCACCCTGGGTTCAATCCCCAGTACAAAACACAATAGAGTTTTGAAAACCCTAGCACAGCATCAGTGAGGAAGACCCAGAAGGAGCTTATGGCATGACCCTGCAGGCAGCATCAATAATCCTCTACCAGGCACCTGTCACCTTCATAGGGAAACATGAAGTTCCCCCACCCCTCCACTCCAAGGTTTACTAAGAACATGCCCCATGCTCCTATGAGCACACACAGGGTTGGGGGGAAGCAGAACACCACCCAGAACACTCATGCAGGTGGTATCTGAAGCCAGCCAGCCCGCCCTGCATCTCCTCTGTAAAGCCTTCTGATCCCCAGCCTCCTCACAGGCAAGCTCTGCTTCCACCAGGCACTTGCACCCCAAACACCCCTGTAGCCAAGCTCCAAGTGCCTCTGGTCTGCACTTCCAAAGAAACTAGCACCTGCCTTTCTTGGAGTTGCTACAGCTGCCATGGCACTGGGAGAGGAGTATGCTCAGGCTTCTGTTGATCCTGCACACTCAGTATTCCTCTGGCCAGCACCTTCATGCCTTCTCAAGTTCCAGGACAGTGACAGAAGCTAAGCTCTTGTAGAGTCCTCTGCCCTCTTCCCTACAACAGTAACGGCACCCAGCAGGGATCCCCAAAATATGTGCTATATGATTGGCCAAATTAACATATGTGTGTGAAACAAGGAGAACACGGCCCCATCTCCTCTAAGACTCTGTGGCTCTGGCCATCACCAGCAGTGTAGTGAGAGGATAGTGCCTCCCTCCTGGCCAGGGGCACACAGGAACTGATGGAGAGGCCTGATGTCTAAAGGGCTCTGGAGACTGAAGAAGTCCATGTGGCACTGGCTCTGGGGCCATACCTCTAATGACCTGTGGCAACCCCACACATCTCTTCCTCCATGGTCATACCATTCTCAAAGCAGGGCTTGTGGGCCAACCCCCTACTGAAGCTATCCACACCCAGGGAAGATACTAACACAATCCAGAAGCAGGGCCACTCCCCCACCCCAACCCCTCTTCCCACCAATTTCAAAGGTTATCTCTCAGCTGCCACTCCCCCACTTGCAAGCTGGAGATAGACCTCACAGGTCCCTATGTGGGTGGTGGCACATACCATGAAAGGTCCAGTCACTCCCCTGCCAGGCTCCCTTCACTCCCTGATCAGATGTGCTCTCCAACAAGGCCCAGCTCAGTTCTCCTGGAGCTGCTTCTGTACAGTATCCTTTCCAAAAGGCCATGCGTCTGTCTCTTTGAGGGCTTGCCCAGGGCCCACCCCAGGACTCATTGCTCCACTGGATGAGAACTGAGTCTCCTGCAGCAAAGAAGGGCCACACACTTGCTCTCATGAATTGTACTTTCTGGTGTATGAATTTGTCTTTCTCACAAATAAGAGGGGTTAGTCCAAGGTCATGGAATCATGCCTGGCACCTGTCAGTCAGGGCTAATATCCTCAGCCCTACAACAGAGCACAGGTAGTTCCAACTATACCTGGGCCCCCACCACAGTAAAGACCTAGGAGCCAGCCTGCCCCCAAGTCTTGGCTGCACCATTGCTTTACCAGCAGAGGCACTGAAGCAACACCACAGCCTTTGCTCCACAGAGCTCAGCAAACCCTGGCACACAGAGACATGCATGCTTGTTAAGCCAGTTCACACTGCTGCCACAGGTCAGGGCCTCCAAGCCTGTCCAGCAGAGTGGAAATGCCAGGTGTGTATGTGTGAATTGACTTCGAGGCCGGGGAAAGCCTCTCTGAGCTGGCTTGGAGCAGGCAGGGGACTCTGGGAAAGCTTCACCAGCACTGACGGCTTGGGAGACCCGACCTCACCTGATCCAGATCCACCCAGTGGTGTCCTCTCCCTGGCCCGTGGTCCCACCACCCCAATCCCAACCCCACCCGGGCCCCACAAGGAGTGCACCCACCCCACCCAGCCGGCCACCGGCCCCGGCCGACCCTGACAGGGGTGCACCCTCCCCTCCGACACGGCCACCGACTCCSGGGGACCCGACAGGGTGCACCTTCTCCGCTCTGCCCGCCACCGGCCCCGGCCGACCCTGACAGGGGTGCACCCTCCCCTCCGACACGGCCACCGACTCCCGGGGACCCGACAGGGTGCACCTTCTCCGCTCTGCCCGCCACCGGCCCCGGCCGACCCTGACAGGGGTGCACCCTCCCCTCCGACACGGCCACTACCGCGGCCGACCAGGGCTGGGTGCGCCCTCTCCGCTGCCCCAACCGGGCCCCGCCACTGGCAGGGGTGCCCCAGCCCCGACCCTCACCAGAAGAAGGTGTTGGTACCGTCGTCGTAGACCTCAGACTCGGTGCTACGGCGGCCGTCGGGCAGCGGGGAACCGGGCCGCGAGCCCCCTGCGCCCCTGCGCTCGGCCCTCCGCATGGCGCAGCAGTCCAGGCCRCGGGCGCAGGGCCGGGGTCGCGGCGCCACCCGGCGGGGTCGCCGCGGAGCGGGGCGGGGCCGCGGGGCATTGTGGGACCCGTAGTGCGCGCGGGGCCGCGGGGCCTGCCGGGCGCCGGGCGCAGGGCCTGCTGGGAGGACGCCGCCGGTTGCTAGGTGACGGAGAGGCGCGCGCGCGCCCGCCGCGGCATTGGGGTCTTAGAATCTATGCCCAAGAACACAGTGGGTCACCCCAGGATCACAGGTGTCAGGGAGCGTCCCTCGGCGCCGACGCGCGCGTCGGCTTTGGTCAGAGCCGCTGTGAAGGCTGACAGGCCACGAAATGAAACGAGAGGGGGCTGCTGCCGGGTGTCGGGGTCCTTGGAGGAGGTGGAAACGCCCCGAGTGCACCCCGGTGGTAGCTGGACGCCTCAACTCTGCTATTAATTGTTAGTATCATTGTTCTGAGGATTGAACGCAGGGTCGCTGAGCCACAGCCCCAGTCCTTTTTATTTTTTATTTTGAGGCAGGGCCTCCCTAAGGTGCCACCTTGTGATCCTCTTGCCTCAGCCTCCAGAGCTTCTGGGGTTACAGGTGTGCACCTCGGCTCCGGGTTGGCACCCGCTCCCTTTTGAAGGGAGTGGGGTGGGGCTCACCTGATCCCCAGGCCCTCAACCGAGAAGGGGGCATAAAAAAGCCAGCAGCTCAGGCTCGGTGGGGCGGGTGGAGGGTCCTGTTTCAACAGGAGACATGGCAAGGTTGTTGATAATGCAGCATCAGGAATCTGACGATGCAGATGAAGATGTGCAAGAGATTGGGGCCTCTTGCTAAGAATTTCGTCGCATTTATTTATTTATTTTCTGTGCTGGGGATGGAACCCTGACCCTCCTCCTTAAGCAAAGGCATTGAGCCACATCCCCAGCCCTCCTAAGAAAATTGGATCCTTTCCTCAGTGGTTAAAAGTAGGAGGTGATCTGGAAGGTATTCCCAGGAAGATAGGATTCAGAAAAAAAAGATGTTAAGTCCAAGAAGGGCAATTCTGAGGGCAGTGAAGATATCAAGAAGATGAGAAAAATATGCAAAAGCAAGGGCAGGCAGCTTCTAACAGATGCTCAGGGACCAAGTGGTCAGTGAGGCAGAACAGGAGGGTGGCACCCACCAGGAAAGCACTTCCCAATGGGAGACATCAAGGAAAGCAACTGTGGCAGTTCCAGAAAGGAAAATAAAGAGATGGTTATGTAAGGGTCCGGYGAAGCGTCGGAGGAAGAGACCACAAGAGACTGGCTTCATGCAATTGGCAGAAGGGGATTTATTGATTCAGCGCGCTGAGGCTCAAGGCTCACTCAGGAAGGGAGAGCGGCCCAGAGCCCAGAGCAGAGGTCAAGCAGAGCTTAAGTACACTTTTTGGAGAGGGGGGGGCTTTGCATACATCAGAACAAATCATCATGAGGCACGGGAAAATTGAACAACAACTCTGAGACATGATTAGTACATTCATTGGCGGGAACAGGCTGGACGGGGGTGATTGGTCACTTCTAAGCGGGGTACACCTTCAAACTGATGGGTTTTAGGGCCTCAAGGACTACGTGACATACTACACAGAGTCCCAGGTTATTAGACAACCAGGGAGTCAGTGGGAATATTTACTGGGCAGTTCCAGCATTGTCCTAACAGCTACAGGGATTACAGGTTCTGGGGGTAGCAGAGGAATTTTAACAATACCTAGTCTTTCACTTTTTAACTCAGGCCCTGCAGCTTGGAAACTTTACAATGCCCCGTCTTTTACACTTTAACTCAGGCTTTGCAGCTTAGAAACAGCTTAGAAATTTTACCTTTACAGTTAAGAAATCCAAACTCTAGAGGAGAGAAACCCCACCAAGCCCAGGGGAAGGGGAAGGGGAGTGGGTCACCTCAGAATCAAAGGAAAAGATTCCTTATCCCAAAGAAGATACCTGCAAGTGCCCCTCCCCCTCACACCTGGGGAGGGTTAAAAGTAATGGTGAATTTGTTAGCAGAGGGTCAGACTGAGAAGGCAGGATGCAGGCTTCTCGCCTCCAGCAGCCAGGGGAAGGCAGGAGGCAGACTGTCTCCCCATTCTGTACCCTGAGCCCTAAAATAAAATTAATTTTCAGAAATATGTTCCAAAAGCTAACTTTCACCAGCAAATGCTGTTGAAATTTACTTCATTATAATATCATAATTTGGGGGGCCATGGGGATGGGAAGGATGAAGCCAGATTTAAAGTTAGGTAGTCAGTGTAGTTAGATAAATCGGGTCTAATACCGAGTGAAATCTAAAATGGAGGCCATGCTGAGAATGATTCYRGGAAACGCAGGACAACTCATGGAATGTTAATGAAGTCCTGAAAAGGCCCTAGGCCAAAGTCCACCTCAAAGAAGTGTTAATGAACAGCCCCCAGCAAGCTTGAAGGTGCTGACTCAGAAGACCTTCCTGACCAGATTACTTCTCTGGCCCACCTGTGTCCCACCCCTCGGGCCTTCCAACCTATATTCCATCACCAAAACTATAAAAAGGGGAGACAACCGCACTTCCACGGATTCCACCTCTTGGGTCCCCTTCTTCCTCCGGGAGAAGTCTTTTCTGCTGTCCTTTAATAAACTTCTAATTTCTACTCTGACCTGGCCTCGGYGTGCTTCTTTGGTGTTATTCTTCAACATTGGGGAAGCAAGGACTCGTCACCGGTTAACAGCGGTAACAAGGATGGTAAAATGAGACAGACATTATTAACCTATATAAAGGTGTGATTACACTGCTGGAGTGACTCTGTACCATGTACAGCCAGAGGAATGAGAAGTTGTGCTCAAAATGCATTCTACTGTCATGTACAACTAATTAGAATAAATAAGAATACTGCCAAAATATCCCTCTAAAAAATAAATAATTTGTAATTAAAAGATGTTTACATGTTATCTGGCATTTGTGTGTCTTAAAAATCTATGCCAAAGAACACAGATGTGGGAGGCAGCTCCTAGCTTCTGGAAGGCTAAGGCAGTCACTGACTGTCCAGGTACAAGGAGAATTGGAATTGGAATTGTGTGTAGATACAGTTTATAGTCACTGAAGGCATGGCAAACACAGAGTCACACATTTAAAGAACATAATTTTATGGGTTCTGTTAAGCTGGGTCAGGTGTTGGGAGATTTCTGTCAACATTCAAAGTCAGATTTGATTATGTTACTTTTGTACTGAATTCATGTGAGAGATGATTTTAAATTCAAGAAAGCCCTAAGTTTTGATTGCTGAATCATTGTTAATTCCTTCTGGTGAGGTTCCCACATTATGTTTTTCCTTCCTTATTTGCAAATCTTGCAGTTTTCTACTTGGTGGTTTCCTTACTTTCTTATTTCTGACCCCTCCCCCAGGTTGGGTGAGGGCTACAAGGACTGGGTGTGAGGTCAAAGGCAACATATGACCACTCTTGTTTTACATGAGATTCTCCTCAATTTCTAAAGACCCAGAGCTCAGGGAAGGAGAGATAGAGCTTGAAATCATGCAGAGTGGTTATCTTTCCATCTGCACTGCTGTGTGTAGTTTTGCTTCCAAGTCTTATTTGAGATGGATCATTCTTACTTGGTCTTGGAAGTGGCCTCGGCAACATCTATTGGATTTCTGTATTGTTGTGATTTGGTTCTCTCTTATTTCCCTAACAATTCTAGAGAAATAGAACAGTGCTTTCCTAAGACCGTAGCTCAATATATACTCATGCTATTAATGAGTGGCAGTGAAGGACAAGTGGATAGGAGGATGGACAGACACCTGGAGGGTAGAACCATAGAGCATGTTGAGTTTTCCTACTAGTTTCATTATTAGCTGTGCAGTAAAGATAACAAAATCTAACATGTATTTTGAATTTATAAAACAAATACATTCAAAATATATTTTAAATAAAAATGGCCTGGAGAATAAAAAATAATAATATCAAAACTTCCATCCAGGGAAGAGCTGAAGCCTCATTTCCATGGGAAATACATAGGAGCATGCTGTCAGACTGTCTGGGCGAYCATTCCCAGCTGGGCCCGGGAGAATGCCTTCCCTCCTGTATCTGCACTCCCTTTCCAAATGACCTGCAGCTGGCCCTGGCATTGCAGAGTCCAGCTCTGGGAGTGATTGTTCCTGACCTTATTTGCAGCAAATAATTCTCAGTGCTCTGTTCTGATTCAGTTCCCACCAAGAGGCAAACCCATTAAATCTGATGACAGTTTGGAGAGATTTTTTTTTTTTAAATTTTAATTTTTTGGGCTGGGGATGTGGCTCAAGCGGTAGCGCGTTCGCCTGGCATGCGTGCGGCCCAGGTTCGATCCTCAGCACCACATACCAACAAAGATGTTGTGTCCGCCGAGAACTAAAAAATAAATATTAAAAATTCTCTCTCTCTCTCTCTCTCTCTCTCTCTCTCTCTCTCTCTTTCTCTCTCTCTCTCTCCCCCCTCTGTCACTCTCTCTTTAAAAAAATTTTTTTTGTACTTGTAGATGGACAGCATGCCTTTATTTGTTTTTTAAGTTTTTTTTTTTTTTAATGCGGTGCTAAGGATAGAACCCAGTGCCTCACACAGGCTAGGAAGTGCTCTGCCACTGAGCTACAGCCCCAGCCCTTGGAGAAATTTTATTAAGAAAAAAAGTGGAAAAACAAAGAGCTTAAGAACATGGTTTTGAGCTGGACATGCTGATCTGTGCCTATAATCCCAGCAGCTCAGGTCCAAAGCCAGCAACTTAGCAAGACTGTGAGCAATCTAGTGAGGCCCTGTCTCAAAGAAACAAACAAAAGGGTTGGGATGTGGCTCCTGTTGTTTTGTGTACCAGCATTCAATTGCTGGTACACAAAACAACAAAAAAACACATGGTTTTGGCTATGGCTTGACTCAGGAACTTTCAGCACCTTTTCTCGATTGTTGGAGATAAAGTTCTCTCTCTCTGGAAAACATATATTTAAGGTTTAAAAACATTTTTGGTCTATTGGTCTTTGCTACTGTCCCTGTCCCCGTGAAAGCCATATCAGCTCAATCACTGGTATACCTTGGAAAGTATACCACAGCTGCAAAGCAATAAGATTTGAGATAAATGCTTTGGTTTTTCCTACATAATTGCAAGTTGAACAATTATATTTATTTATTTATTTGGTACCAGGGATTGAACTCAGGGGCAYTTGACCACTGAGCCACATCGCCAGCCCTATTTTGTAGTTTATTTAGAGACAGGGTCTCACTGAGTTGCTTAGGGCCTCACAGTAGATGAGGCTGGCTTTGAACTSGAAATTCTCCTGTCTTAGCCTCCCAAACTGCTGGGATTATAAGCATGCGCCACTACGCCTGGCTCAATTATTTTTTTTTAATATTTATTTTTTAGTTGTAGTTGGACACGATATGTTTATTTTATTTTATATRGTGCTGAGGATTGAACCCAGGGCCTCACACATGCTAGGCGAGTGCCCTACCGCTGAGCCACACCCCCAGCCCAAGTTGAACAATTATTAAAAAACAAAACCTGTTTTCATTAAAAATGGAAGCCAGTCAGGCCCAGTGGTGCACACCTGTATTCCCAGTGGCTGGGGAGGTTGAGGCAGAAGGATCATGAGTTCAAAGCCAGCCTTAGCAACAACAAAGGTGCTAAGCAACTCAGTGAGACCCTGTCTCTAAATAAAACACAAAATAGGGCTGTGAGCTGGGAATGTGGCTCAGCAGCCAAGTGCCCCTGAGTTCAATCCCTGGTACCCCTTCAAAAAAAAAAAAAAAAGAAGAAGAAGCAGCAGCAGCAGCCAGGCATGGTAGTGCATGCATTAGTCCTAGTACTGGGGATGCTAAAGCAGGAGGATCACTTGAATCCATGAATTTGAGACGAGTCTGGGCAACATAACAAGGCTCTGTCTAAGGAAAAAAAAAATGTATATATATATGTGTGTGTGTGTGTGTGTGTGTGTGTGTGTGTGTGTGTGTGTGTATGATGGTATATATAATGGATGGTAGATTTGGATTTGGGGCTGCAGTATAGCTGGGTGGTGGAGTGCTTGCGTAATATACAAGAGGCCCTGGGTTTGATTTCCAACATGAACCACACACAAACACAAGAAAATTGTCATCTGAGTTTACATGTTTGTATACACAAATATTAATGTCTAAAAAGTTGCTACCATAAACTTTTGACAAGGCAAGTAGGAGAAATAGTGAATTCCGAACCATTAGTGTTACTGAAAGCTCAGTCCTTGCCCCTGATGCCAATCCAACAATGAGAAGACAAGTTTGAGAAAATGGAGAAAGAAGTTTTATTACTTGGCTAGCAAAGGAGAAGCACAGGGGACTCCTGTCTCAGAGGCTGTGATTCTGCCCATGGGGAAACAGGATTTTTTTAAAGAAGTGATTCAAAAGCTACATTCCATGTGTTCTTTGTTCAAAGTTGTAATTCACTTGTTAATTTGGGAGATAGTAATTTCTGAGATGTTCTGGTGCCTTCCCCAAAGTCTGGCATATTTCCTTCCTCTGGTGTGTGCTAAAGAACAGATAACTCTGCCTAGGATGGGGAAGAAAGGTCATCCAGTTTCCCCTGAGATTAAGGAGGAGGAGGGAAAGAGATAAGAGGAATTTTTGCTTTGGGGGATGGTGGGCAATGGGTTAGCTGACCTGGTTTGAGGGTGTGTGCTTTCTTTTTCTATTTCAAAAAGACTCAGGGCCAGCTATCCCTTTATTCTGCTACAGTCTTTATGGAGTTAAAAGAAAGGGGGGGGGGAGCAGGAGCCATCAAAACTGAAACCAATGTTTCTTTCTTTTTTTTTTTAACTTATTCTTTAGTTGTAGGTGGACACAGTGCCTTTATTTAATTTTTATGTGGTGCYGGGGATCGAACTCAGTGCCTCGTGCATGCTAGGCGAGTGCTTTTCCTTTGAGTCACAACGGCCAGCCCCTTCATGTTTTAAAAATGCATATATTGGGTTGGGRTTGTGGCTCAGCGGTCAAGTGCTCACTTGGCACATGTGAGGCCCTGGGTTTGATGCTCAGCTCCACATAAAAATAAATAAAATAAAGATATTGTGTCCAACTACAACTAAAAAATAAATATTAAAAAAAAAATAAAATATCCCATTCCTCTGGAACGGAGCCTCCGCTGGCAGGGATGAGATGGAAAGATCGGCGGTGTGCTGGGCGCGTTGGCGTCCAGTGGGACTATTTTGATCCTCAGCAGGCAGCAGATGGAGCAGCTGGAGGAGCCCTTCCTGAAGGAGCCCTTTCCATCCCACAGTGCCCTGGTGGCGCCGGCCTCCCGCCTCGGCCTAGAGGAGCAACACGTGCCACACGGGCAGGATGGGTTTAGTGTGCCACCTCAGGTCAACCCGACCCTGAAGGAGGCCATCAGCGTAGGCACCACGCCTCCGCCGGCCCTGGCGCTCGCTCGTCCTGGGCCCACTCAACCTGGGCAGGCCCATCCGGGTCCAAATTCTGTTGTATGTGCCCATCCTGCAGATGAGCACTCCCCCAGCCCCAGAAGACCCAGAGGGTTCTCCATTCAGGCCCAGGCCTGTGGGAACCTGCGGCCGGTTTCCAGCAGAGTTCCTGGCCCCTCAGGGGAGGGACTAGAAGCCCTGCAGAGCCTGAGGAAGGTGACCGCGGTTGCCTGCATCTCCAGGAATGAGGGACTGCCGCTCTCCCACAGGGATTTTCCCACATTCTCTACTGACAGCCTCACCCACATCAGACCCCCGCCCGACCCCCGCCCGCAGCTGCATCCCTTAGATTCCACATCCAATACAATTTCATCATTCTGAAATAGTCCGGAGCTTTGTCTTAATTTGGGTATTTTTTTCCCTCTTATTTCCTTTTAGTCTTTGCTTTGTTACTTGTTTGAGGTTATTTTTCTGTTTGATTTTCCTCGATTTTCAATAAAGTTTTTTAGCTTCAGTGAAAAATAAAATAAAATAAAGAAGGAGGCTGGGGATGTGGCTCAAGCGGTAGCTCGCCTGCCATGCGTGCGGCCCGAGTTCGATCCTCAGCACCGCATACAAACAAAGATGTTGTGTCCGCCGAAACTAAGAAAAATAAATATTAAAAAGCAAGTAATGTTTTGAACAACCAATAAAAAAAGAAAATAAATACATAAATTAAATAAAATAAAGAAATAAAAGTGCATAGGTAGCCTGTTTTTTGGATAAAATTTTACTGAAACCAAACAAAAACCATCCTATGATCGATTTTTCCCCCTCTGACAATAAGACATTTATCTCAGGCTAATTAGAATTGCAATCAGGGTAAACATATCCCAGAAATCTTGAAAATATGCTCTCCACCTTAGGATTTATTTATTTGTTTATTTATTTATTTTGGGGTACCAGGGATTGAACTAAGGGGCACTCAACCACTGAGCCACAGCCTCAGCCTATTTTGCATTTTATTTAGAAGCAGGATCTCACTGAATTGTTTAGCACTTTGCCATTGCTGAGGCTGGCTTTGAAGTCTTGATCCTCCTGTCTCAGCCTCCCCAGTCACTGGGATTACATTACAGGTGTGCACTGCGCCCTAAGATTTAAATGGCAAGAGCCATTTACATGTCACAGTGGATTTCTGCAAACTGACAATGTTAAAGTTTTAAGCAAATAAAGTGCAGGTTGATCTGAAAAAGTGAAACTCAGAGACACAAATTTTCTACAACTAAGGTCTTATTACAGGAATAGAAAAGGGACTCTACCCAGGAGGTTATGCTGCTATAGTGGCAAAGACACTGAGACAAAGTTTACTTTTGAAGAAGAGGGTCAAGGCAAACAGCTTTGAAACAGAGCACAAGTCCGGAACTGGTGGCTGCTGAGGTCCAATGTATGTTCCCTGGTGGAGATAGTATATCTGAAAACTGCATCTCAAAGGGGCCCTTGGATAATCTCCTTAAACCTGGGTTGTGCAGGTATTCCAGGAATGCTTTCTGGAGGGCTTCATCACCACTGGACACTTGGGCTAGGGCTTTAGGGACAGTGCTTTCATTTTGGTGCTAGCCACAATCCCACCTATCTGTGAATATAACAAAAACCAGGGAAACTAAGTGAGGATGGGTGAATTGCATGGTACAAATGCTGTCTCAATGAAGCTGGCGTCCTAATGCCACACAGGTGAGCTTGCCTGTGGGCTCCTGCTACTGTGGGGATCTGGAGGCCAGAGATGGCTTGCCTGGAGGCACCCTGCTGGGCCTTCACAGGCCAGGATGCTGCCCTGTGCTGAGAGCCAAGCAGGAGCCTGGGTGGTCAAGGCAGCTAGCTACACTGTGGTGATCCTCAAGGATATAGGTGAGAGTCCAAGTGGTGGAGAGGATGTCCCTCCAGCGCAGATCTTGTTTCCTGGTGTTGAAGATGAAACACCCAAGAGATGCTGAGGCATGCATAGACAGCAAGTTTAATTTAAGTGATACAGATTTCTCCAAAGAGAAGGGGCCTCAATGCCAAAAGCCCTGGGAGGGGTTGCAACTTGCTTTTTTTAATAGACCCCAGAACCCCCCTCCTTCTGGGCTAGGCAAGTGCTCAACCGCTGAGCCACAACCCCAACCCCACATACTTGATCAAGGGCAGGAGCACAGAGGGTAATGGTTAGCAGCCCTGAGTGCAGAGGGGCACAATTCTGGAGGTCAACCCTTAGCAAATCCCATCATTCATTGCCTACACCGACTGCCTGAACTTTGGCCCGGCTTCAGTTTGTTGAGGAATGTGGCATATCCTGTTCACCTAGGCCAGGAGGGAATGCGGGCGAATTGCTTTTTGGCAAAGAAAGTAAAGTGGGGGTCAGCACCGTGGGCCCATTTTATAGAATTGTTTTCTTAACCTTGTGTTCCCACCATTCTCACCTATCTGTTCCGTTACAGAGAGAGGACCGAACCAGAGGACCAGTCTGGACCTGGTCTCCATCCTGCAGGAGCCCTGAAGTGAGCGCGCGCCGGGTTGGACTGGACAGCATCCCCACTGCTTTGTGCTGAGGAGACCTGTAGTGCCCCAGCGCGACCTGACGCTCTTCAGGGAGCCCATGCTGGACTGCAGGAGGAAGAGCCCAGCAGGCCAGCTCCCGCGCACCCCGACCAAGGAGCAGCGTCTTGCAGGTGGGGTTCCCTGATGGCCACTCTTCAGCTGCCACCCCGCCTTTCCCCGCGGCTTGCTGGCACGCTCACTTTACGGAGGCGCTCTCGGTAGGGTGGGGATKGTCCTGGGTATGGACAGTTCTCCCACACTAACTGTCCACACCCAGGACCATCTCCACCCCACCGAGAGCACCTCCGTAAAGTCCTGGTAACTCTAGTTTTCTTCGGAGCGTGTAAATCTATTTAGCCTTTTACCAAAAAGCGCCCTGAGTCCTCCTGTCTAGGCAGACCGGGCACCACTGCCCTGCCGGAGCGCCGAGGGCGGGCGGGGAAAGCACCTGCGCCTGGCAGTGGGAGGGGCGCTGGGACGCTCAGGGAGGCAGCTTCTGGCTGCCCGGCGGTGAGCAGGGCGTGGCGACCCCTGCCGGCCTGAGTAGGCTGGGGCGGGCCCTGGGGGGCGTCTCTTCTGGGGCGGGCCCCGAGGCTTCGGCAGGGCCAGGTCTGGAAGGGCGGAGAGGCTTAGTCCCTCTGCGCAGCCAGGTGCGAGCTGCCCGCGGTTGGGTAAAGTGTCACTACCGAGCCCAGGCCGAGCGCTATAGGAATCTCAAACGCTTTACAAGTGTTGTGGTCTTCACTCCTCCTTGAATTAGCTCGCTCCTTCCCTCGCTGGAGTCCAGAGCCTCTCCTCTGCACCCCGCCCTCTGCAGGAGCCCTCCGCCAGGCTTTGCACCTGGAGCCTGACAGCTGCCTCTCGCCTCCGCCCCGTCCCTGCGGCTTGCTGCCTCTCCTGGGCACGTGGGGACCAGCGGTTGGTGACAGCTCTGGGTGGAGGACAGTGGAGGCTGCAGGACCTGGGGCCATCTGGAGAAGGGGACACGGGACAGCACCTTTCCTTAGCTGCGGAACCACCCACCAGAGATCAAGGTGCTGGAGCCATGAGGGTAAATGGCCAAATCCTGTCTCACCCAGGAACAGATCAGGCCAGAGCTCAGTGTGGGTACGGCCTGACCTCGGAGCCTGGTTCCCTTGAGCTGAGGAGCAGTTACATCTTGGTGGTAAACAGTGGGATCCTTGGGGAAATGCTTTCTAAAAAAACACACTTGCACAGAAAGGAGAGAAAGCCTATGAACCTGTAAAAGAATAAAGACTGGTTTTCACTTTTGTGGCAAATCTGTAAAGGTGAATGAATCCCAGAGAACTCACCTGCCTAGGCACACCTGCTGCCTGGATGTTTTCTCAGGGAGCCTGCACGGCAGGTTTGAGAGGACAGGAGGGGGGAACTGGGCCAGATCCAGGCCGACCTGAGGGCCAGGGAGTCTGGAAAGAACCGTCCTAGAGAGGACCGGAAGCAGGTTCTCCAGAGGCACCTCCAGCCCACTGGAGGCCCACATCAGGCCACCTGGGCTGGAGATGCAGGATAGGTCCAGGGTCAGGCGGCAGGGGCTCACTCCTATCTGAAGACCTCGCCTGAGCTCCCTAACCCTGGTTGACCTTTCACCACAGCCCCTGGGCCATCCAACTAATGCTGCCTCTAGCTGCACTTTGGCCCTTGTGGGGAAGATAACAGGAGACATGGTCTGTCTTCTGGACTTAGGAGGAAGAAGAGGGTGGCAGGGTCCAGGGTCCACAGGGTCCATGTGACTTGGACCAAAGTACTCTGCCAAGAAGGCAGCTGGCCACAGTGCCTTCCCCTCTACCCCAGGGGCAGTCCAGATATAGGCCAAAGAGTAAGGCCAAGTCTGGGGGAAACAAGGTTTATAATCCAGACTGTAATATGATAATAAAGACATTCTAAAATAAAGTGAAGTTGATAACAGTGATCTACATGTTAACAGTAGAAATTGAAAGGAGAAACTTATTCCTTAGTGACTGTGGTTCCCTCACACTTGGGAAGAAAACCATAACCCACCGGTAAGAGTGCACAGGGTTATCAGGTATGACCAACACAAACCTGCTTTTCAGTACTTTAAAGCATTTTAAGTTAGTTGAAATGAAAAAAAAATGTTTGTAACCTACACGATAGTGTAAGCATCCTTCTGTGTTCTCAGGGGTGTTCTACTGCTGAACTGTATGCCCTGCCTTTTTGCTTTATTTTGAGATAGAATCTTGCTGAGTTGCCCAGGCTGGCCTCACATTTATGATCCTTCTGCCTTAGGTTCCCAAGTATCCCCATCCCCTGGATCGATCGATCTTTCTTTCTTTCTTTCTTTCTTTCTTTCTTTCTTTCTTTCTTTCTTTCTTTCTTTCTTTCTGTATTGTTTTATTTATTTATTTTTATGTGGTGCTGAGGATCGAATCCTGGGCTAGGCA